GTTTTATATTTGTTAATTAATTTTAATATTTTAGAGCTCTGTTTGGACTTTTTGCTGACAACTGGTTAAGAAGATGTTACTATTTGATTTATTACTAAGAAGGGTTATGAGATGAAAAGTTTTATATTTCTTAATTAAGAGGGGTGAAGAAATTATAAAATTGTTTATTACTTGTGATGAGGGTGGGAAGTCACTTTCTTAAAAGGGTTTTTTTGGTATTCTTTTTTCTTTTTCTTTTACTTTGTATTATCTCTTATTGTTGTTTTTAAAATCTTAATAAAATTATTGAACAAAAGGAACTATTTATTCCTGTCTACCTCATACTGAAGGATATGACCAATTTTGAGAGCACTCAAAAGGCAGATGAAGTGGTTCTGAATCTCTTTGAATTGGGGTTCTTACTTTTTTTTCAGTTAGCAGCTTCAGATATGAAGTTTCATGTATGAAACTTCTGATTCTAATGGAAGGTTCAATAACTGATACTGAATAGCAGCTTCCTGAATTGGAACAGTTTATAACAGATTTTCATAAAAATATGCTCATTCCTTGAAGAATTGCAAAGATTTAACTATAAATTATATCTGGCAATTCTTGATAATATAGTATATATTATGACTAGTGTATAACCTACCATCCTTTTAACAAGTATAACAAAGCATTGATACATGATTGCATCTACATACTGTATGACTTAAGTTGTAATGAGTTAAGTTTTCCAGGACTGATTTCATGCAAAATAATGTTTATTTTAAAACTCCCATGTACATGAGAGATGAGTCATTTGCCTCATCATTTCCTAGTAGCCCATGTGACTGAATGACGTTCCTGGAATGTCACTTGAGCACGTCTGAAGAGCAATGATATATTGGAGAATTTTACTCTGCTGCAAGTAACTTTAAAATAATGCCTTAAATAATCTGTAGAAAAAACTCCTCTGCTAAAATAGACAATAAAATGAAGCTGATTTTTAGAGATCTGCATATTTAGCTGTGAGCTGTTTTCTGCACTAAAAAAAATAAAAAAAATAAAATTTATACTGGCTACCCATTACAGATCTAGCTATTTGCAGATACCTTAGAAAGCTTTGTAGCTGCAACAAACAACTGCAACATGTTTTGCATTCTGGACAAAAAAAGGAGTGAAGAATCTTGCCAATCATAAACTTAACTAATTTTGGAAAACTCTGCCTATTTTTTTGGTCTTCAGAGGCATTTTTTTTCCAGTGCTGCATCTTTTCCCCTTCCATACAATTGTTGAAAATAGCTGAGGTCAAAATGTTCAAGCGACTACTCTATATACAGTTTTATTCAGTTTCTAACTTTAACAGGTTCAAAACAAATTCTTAACTTTATTCATAATATTGCTTAAATAAAACATTCCAAATGGAAGATATTTTACCTTGCTGTCTGTAGTTGGCACAAGGCCCACCGCTGCCATATATGTGCTTCCAATTGTCTTGATTTTTTCAATGTCTTTGTAATATTCTTTGTCCATAAGCTTTGTTTAAAACATAAAACTGTTAAACATTACATAGTATTTTAGATAACAAAGAATAATGTGCATGCTTATTTCTTGTTTTAGCATTTATCCTTTTTCTTGGCTCAAATTTATAGCAAATATCCTCTAAAGACTTCAGTGACTATGAAAAATTATTCTGGATCATTCCAAAATAACGGCCTGCTATAATTTGCAACAGCACTCTAACTCAACATATTAAGCAAAACTCATTGATCTTTGCTTCTTTTGTTTAATACAATAAGAAAGAGAAAGCATGCAGAGCATAGCTCCTGGAATTTTTTCCCAACCTCTTAATAACAGTTTCTCTCTGGGCCACACAACCCCAAGGGAGAAAAGAGCGGGCTTAGAATCAAGGAGTTAGGAATGATCCAAGCCAATTGCCTCATCTGGGGAGATGCCATGGAGCGATACAGAGGAGATCTAGGTGGGGGTGGGGGTCTGGCTCCCTCCCTTTCATCTAAATAATTTTCAAATTTGATCTTTCTTTTGCTGGTTTGTCTCCCCCCCCCCCAAAAAAAAATTTGGTCCCATTCTATTCAATTTTCAAAAGGATATCAGGCTGATGGACAGAAAGAAAGAATCCCAACCCTCTGTACACAATTTATTTCTGACACTGCACCTGGTTGGAAATAATAAAAAGGGTGGGATAGAGGACTACAGAGATGGCCTAGAAGAAAAAATGCAGCAGTCATTAGTGAAATGTGAATCTAGCTGGGAAAACAGAAAAGCGTGAGACAGAAACTCAAAATATTCCACTTTGATCCTTCTTGGTATAAGAGGAAGGAAAGGAGAAATGCTGTCAGGCTTTCAAGTTTCTGTCTATATCAAGAGAATTCTAATATTTCTTGTAGTGTCTCTTTCCTGATCTGTTCTACCTCAAAGGGTGACAGATATATGGAAAGAACATAGCAGCTCCAATGAAACATAGCTGATCTTGAATGTTCTAAAAATACCAATTAATTCATTATCAAAATGGCACAGAGTCTTTAAGTTTTATTATTCCATGAATCACCCCTACATGTTGGGAGGATATTGGGTGAGAGGCAAAGGAAAGACTAATGTAACAAAACCATAATGAAAAAACTTTCAAGCTAACCTGCAGTCTAAAAAGATGGGTCACTGTACTGCTATATGACATAATCCCTTTTAGAGATATTTTAAATTAGTAAACCACTCAACAGATTTAACTGTAAGAATTTTCCCCAGTTAGGAGACTGTATGTCCATTTGATCCGAAATCGGTATTAAACAGTTGATTTTATGAATCATTGTATTACATTATAATTTCACCTTCCAATTTTTATTCAGTAGGCCAAGGCTGCCTCCTATTTCTCCACAGCAACAACCCTGTGAGGTAGGTTTGGCTGAGAAAGAGAGAGAGACTGGCCCAACAGCAAAACTAAAGACAAATTAGGTCTTACCTCATCAAAATCGGCTATAATTTCATTTAGCAGGCGTAAACATTCCACTCCCATGTTATTGCCATCCAGTTCAATGTAAAAATCATTGAAATTTGGGATGGAAGCAAACATCACTCCCACTTGTGAATATGACTGGTAATACAGGTCCTGAAATAAATGATTACATTTCTTAGTAGACAAGAAATTTCAAGGGATTGGATCCAGACTAAAAATCAGTGGACTGAATCCAAACTAAATTAGCTATATTTAGTTATCCCATCCTTGCTGTCAGGGAGCAAAGAACACAAAGGGCTTCTTAAAAGATGAAGACCTCTCCAATGTTCTCTTACTTTTTGTCAGCATACTGACTGATAATTTCTGGTAGCAATTACCAGATTAGCAACTAATGTAACGTTATCTCTGGTACAAAAAGATGCTGATAATACTCCTACATTGTCAGTATCTTTACTTTACTGGAAGGCTTCTCCAGTCTTTGAGCAAGCCACCTTGGCTATTGGCTATTTCATTCTGTAATCTAGAATGATGGAGAGAATTAATACTTCTCAATATTTTTCAGATGCTGTGAACCCTTGCTTCACACCGTTCAATCACACAAATAAAAAACGCAGGGCATTCATCGGGAAAGCACAGTGCAGTTAAGTCATCTCAAAAGGGAAAACTGTCACTCTTTTCTTCTGTGATGTAAATTTTGAAAATCTCTAAGAACTGCTCAGAGCAGGGCATAGTGAACAAAAATATAATGTGTGCTATGCTGTGATTTGCTTGAATTAAAATAGGATGTTATATTATTATGGTAATGGTAACTGGGTGTTTTTAATGAGTACAACCATCCCTTGAATTCTGGAAGTTGACGTCCACACATTTTCAAGTGGCCAAGGTTGAGAAACACTGCCTTGACCTATGATTATAATCTTCATAAAGATCACTATCTTCAACGTGATTATTTTTGACGCCTATATCTGGCATTCCTTATCTTCAAGGAATTAAGAGCAACGTAGTATCCCATTTCACATTGTCAACAGTACTGTGGGGCAGGCTAGGCTAAGAGGTGAGGATTTACTCAAATCTAACCTTTGAGTTTCATGGCAGGGCTGAGAGAAAAGTCTAATTTCTCCCATTCCAGGACAGTGACTCTCCTATAAATAAGCTAACTCGAACTTTGATCTATAATGTAATTTATAAAGAGATAAACAATATTATTTCCTGATAAATTCAAAGTATAATCCAGAATTTACTCATGATACTTTAAGCTGGTTTGTAGGATTTCTTCAATATGATACTATTCATCAGGAGAGGCTGTTCTGCATTTCCCATTAAAAATGTACTGTTCAGTTGATGAAAACAAGGTATTTATTGATTTATTTATTAAATTTGTATGCTGCCCATTTCCCCCAGCGGGTGACTCTGGGTGGTTCACAATTACAGTAAAACCCACAAACCGTTAAAAAATAAATACCCACAGTAAGTAATTAAAAAATGAGGCTATAAAAACAAACCCTAACCAGTTTTTTTCTGCTACGCTATACCAGGTTGGGAGTCCTCTGCCTCAGTGATCCATTTAGCTATTTTCCTGAAGTTTTAGCCAAGCTGTTTGGTCTTTAGACTACCTCCTGTGTGATTCTTCTTTGCTGCTCCTGTAAATCTGTAAATTTCTATGCTACTTTTAAATGTTGTATTATTGTTGCTCACACAGTAAGCCAGATATTTAGACTGGATTTGGCATTTTTGTCCACCTATCGAGTCCTTCCCAAGAACCTGGGATAAGCAGATGTTGTTGCTTGATGATGTTAAGGTATCGTGGCAGGATGTAAGCTGTTCTAAGTAAAGCTGCCTTTTACAACTGACTGATGGTGATTTTGTCAATGCCGATGGTCTTCAAGTGGTACTCTAGTTGTTCTGGGATCATGGGATGATGATGATGATGATGATGATGATGATGATGATGATGATGATGATTTCAATGAAATTAAAGCACTGGAGAAATGAAAAGGCATGACACAAATCTTGAAAAACAAATAATTATCTTCCTTACCATGTTCCTTGGATTAGACATAAGAAAATGCTGAGCAACATGTGCTGGCAACAGATTGAAAAGAATTCTTTTGTTATCCAGTTTCACTCTCTCCATATCATCTCTCTCTTCTTCTGCCTATCAGAAGAAAAAATGATGTTCTAAACAATGAAGGCTACAAATATCAACAGACTTGTTAGGGATGAAGTACCACTGGACACTGTGAAAGGCATAGATTGCATTGTAAATAGTGAAAATGATCAGATTTATAATTGTTGAAAGCCATGAGTGATACCAGAAATTCAGAGCAGAGGTGCTTGAACGGGAATATTCCATTCGAATTTCAGAAACTGATTGCCACTAAGCCTCTCTGAGTTTGTACTGATCAACCCCCCTTTTGGACCTTTCAGATTCCAAAGGATAGCTAAAGATAGATTGTTCCAATAGAAGAGGATATATGTAGCTAGGGTTGAACTGAGCAACCAACACCCAACAGGGATTAACACCAGACAAACAATCAAGCAGAAAACAATACCCCAATCAAGGAACTACCAAGGAGAAAACAATACCCCCACCAACACTGGCAGGGCAAGCTACTGTATATAAACAAGGAGCAAACCCCACATTCACTAGCACTGATGGCGTTATCTAGTTGGATAATGAAACGTCCACAAGCAAACCACCAAGCTCAGAGAGCACCAAGGACTCGAAGGATAGATTGTGTTGATTGGGTGGGTAGTGGGAGGGAGGATAGCTGAAGCTTAGAAGAACTCCTGAATTACAAAAAGCAAGGAGTCTGTTACCCAAATGGCAAAAGACATGCAGAGGTTTTCTCCCATCAAAAAATGCTGCATAGCATTCAGTCTGAAGCCACAAGAGGCTCCTATTAGAGATGATTGTCTTTATAGTCCAGACAATGACCCTTTCATGGGAAATATATATCTAGGCTTTGAGATTCTGTGGGAACTTGACAGTCATGTTTGCAAAACTCTGAACAGGGTGATATTGACCCATCTCCATTTGTAACTGCTCCAGAAGATCCCTATTATGTAGCAAAATCCTGATGCCCTTATGGGGGGAGGGGGAGGAACAGACCAGTTTCTTACTGCAAGGACTGTAAGATATTAAACCATAAACAAAGTCAAATAGACAAGTCATTCAAATTTATCTCATAGCAGACTGTATTTCATTTTTACAACATTACCAGCAAAGCCAGATACTTCATTGAAGAAATCCTCTAAAGTAAAAGACCACTAGAATGCTTTTATTCACTGCATTCTGCAGCAGTCAGTACCTTTCATTCCTTGCTTTGGCTGATGTGCTGAAGTTGAGAGTACTGTACATGCTTTCAGGCCAATGGTCCCAAGTTTAATTCTGCCATCTCCAAATACAGCCAAGAAACTTTCTATATGAAATCATCAGGGAAGCCCACAAATCAGTGAAGACAATATTAAAGTACATGGAATGACGCTTTCACTTAGTGCAAGGCAACTTACATAAGTTGATTTTTTAAAAAATCCTAAAATATTCCCAGGCACTTAAGTCATTCTGGTACCTAAATCTCCTGTGTTTGTATGTATGTCTTGCAACCTGTACATCTGACCCTGAAGAAAGGGGAAAAACCTGCTTTGTCTATGATCCTCAGAGGTCATGGATCAGAATTAATTTTGATATACAAAGTGAGAAGAAAAGGCAGAGTTACTGTTTGAAAACAATACTGCAAGAGTGCAGGACTTGGGAAAGTTGGAATAATAGGTTGCATGCCTGCAATTATGGTTTTTCAAGTGGTCATCTGTACACTTACTTGAATGAATTTCTGCAACTGTGCAGACATCATCACATCTTTCTCAAAGCTAAGCGAGGATGCATTTTGGCAGGGTCTTGCATGCTGTATCTTTGTGGATGTAACAATGACCATTTTGTGGAATGTAACAATAGCCACTTGAAGAATGAGTTTTGAAAAAAACAACCTATTCTTCAGTGTGATATATGTAACAAGCTGCATTTCTTCATGATGGAATATAAACTGATGAAATCACATTAAAACATAGAACACAATATGACCTTGGAATTTAGATGGTACTGATAAATGGCTATGACTGCTCAATAACTGTAACACCATAGCTGCAGCAGCCACAGTCTGTGGTGAGTAAGGTCATTCAAGAAGTTGTGGTGGAAGTATAGCTAATGTATAAACTAAATGAATGGTCTCTGAAATCCAAGGAGCATCTTATGTAGAGAAGCTGCAGTGCCGTTCTTGGGAAGATCATAACAGAAGGATAAATACTGAATGCTCCAAAAGAGCACAACCTACTCACATAGAAAGCTAAAGCCCTGCCAACATCTAAGCAGTGCAGCACTACTTCCAGAGGACCTCGATGGACAGCAATACTTCTATCTCGCTTGGGTTCAGCTTCAACCTGTTCCATCTTATTCTAGATCCTGACAGCCTCCAGGTACTGAGCTAAGATATTAACAGAGTCTCTGGGGTAGCAGTATAGAGCTGGATATAATCAGTGTATTGATGATATCATAACCCAAAATGTTGGATGATTTTTCCCAGTGGCTACATGAGATGTAAAAAAAATAGGGGATAGAGGAATGACTTCTGTGGCATACCACAAAAGATGCCACTGGGTCAGCATCTCTTCCTCTGCCACCAGCAACTGGGACTGACTGGTGAGGACAGAGCAGGAACTCTGTTACAACAGGGCCTCTGATCCTCAACCCCTGCTGGTGGTCCAGAAGGATACCGTGATCAATGATATCAAAGACTGCTGAGAAGACTAAGAGGACAGAAGGGGTGCACTTTCCCCATGCAGATCCTGACAAAAATAATCTACTAGAGTAAACAATGCTGTTTCTGTCCCAGACCCACTTCTTCTAAGGTGTTCATCTGCCAGCACTATATCAACAACTTTAACTAAAAAGACAAGGTTGGAGACTAGGTAGTAACTATCTAAAACCACTGGATCCAGGAAGGTCCATTTTAGGAGGGAGCACACCACAGCCTTCTTCAATACTACAAGCAACACCCCTTGCTTAGTGAAGGTTGACAATCCACTATATCCATGTGACCACACACAATGCAGCTACTCTAAGGAGCCAAGAGAGAAATGGCTCAAGCCCACAGGTGGCAGAGGACATTCTAATGAGTACTGCACTCACTTCAACAGAATTCACAGGCCAAAAGAATTTTAAGATAACATGGCAAAATGTTGCCCTAATCATCACCATACAGTCTGACCATGAAGCTTCAGGTGAACCTGAACAGTTTTATTCGTAAAATGCTGTACAAATTGGTCACAACAACCAACTGGGATCTTGATACTCTCTGAAAGGGACTTCACCATCCTAAACAAGCCTGATGGAAGTAAGGTGCTTTGTCTCTCTGGTCATCATGGTGTTGGCATGAATATAGGTATGTACCTATACTAGGTCTGGTACACTTTTTGACATTCTCCACTTGTGCTTCAGGTGGAGTTTCTGTCACTTCATTTCCTGGATACCACTGAAATAGGTTGCTTGGAGTAATCCTGTCAAATGTTTGGGTTGCTTTTTGTTGCTAGAGGTTAACTAGGCATTTGATGGAATTGGTTGATAAATAGCCAGGAAACTCCCCACTGGAAACCATTTGGATCCATTAGGTGCCTGGGGTGGATCATCCTAATGGGTCTACTCATGTTACAGAGGTCCTGGATAGACTCCCCTAGGCCAGACTATGGCAAAGGGGTGATAGAAATCTCCTCCAGATCTATATTTCAAAACAACTGCTCCAAGGCAAAAATGAGATCTAGCATGTAACCACCTACATATGCTGGTCCAGAGATTACTTAGGACAAGCCTATGGTTGCCATGGAGGCCATGAACTCCTGGGCTTTCCCCAAATCATCCCCAAGGCTCGGAGACTGAAGTCTCCAACACCAAATGGCAGGGGAATCTCCATCAAAAACCTAAACACCAAGTCCAGTAGTTCAGGGATGAATACTGCTGGGCAGCAAGGTGGCTAGTACACCTGGAGAACTCCAAGCCCTCTGAAAGAATGACAACTCCACCCTCATTCAACCAGGATTTTGCAATACATATCAGAACTGCCTCTTTATCCAACACCAAATTGTGAATGAATGAGCTCTTCTTATAGACAGATCTGGTTGCCAATAGCATCCTGAGGCCAAGAAACTGGCCAATTCAGTCACTGAGTTGGAAGTAGAGATTGTCAAGAAATTGAAAGACTCTCTTCCTTTGGAATGGTCTACACTGGACCATTTCAATCTCATTAATGCAATCCTATCTCAACATTCCCCTTCTCACTAATGCCCTTAGAGTGGAGGCTTTGCCCTCCCCTTGTCTTACAATAAGTAAGGGCCACCCATCCACTGCCTTGACTGTCATCCAAGGCAGCTATCCACAGCCAAAATAATGGTCCAAGCTTCCCCAGGCCAATGAATGGAGAAGGAGGCATCAGCCTGAGGCAAGGATAAATATAAAGCAGCTGACAAAGCTGAGGATCATAAAAGAAGATGAAAAGGCCAAGGGAAATCTACCAGGAAGGGGAGTTGGGGCTGGAACTTGTACACTGCCCAAATTTATACAGTCCATATTTATGGTTATATTTCTATATACATTTGATGGGTAATTTGTTAGTTAAAATTATTTCTCTAGCCTTGGAAATAGTAAGAGGATATAGAAACTGGGGACTTAACACAATGTTTTAAAAAAGAAAAAGAATATCTTGCCTGCACAGCCCAGAGGTAGTCCAAACGTAACTTCAGATCCACCTGTCTTGAATGAAGTGCCAAAGCACAGGAGAACAGCAAGATGGCTAATATTGGTTCATAGCCACGTATATAAAAGGAGCCATCCCTTTAAAAAGAAATAAATTATGTAAACTTTTTATTCTTTGCCATCCTCAAAAAGTTAAAATAATATGACTGATAATTCTATATCTAACTCTACAGTTGTTGGGATTCAAGTAGTATACTATTACTACTTAGTGTGGGCAATGTGATGGCACAACAGAATATAAAAAGAGCAGTAGAAGCAAGGTATGGGAAAGGTATTAATTGGCCCTTCTGGATTTGTGGAGGAGAGAAGGAGCTTCCCTTATTTTTTGTAAATTTCTCTGTCTCTCTTCTGGTGCTTCTACTACAGGTTTTCTTCTCTCAGCTGAGACACAGGCTGAAGTGTATGATGAAGGAAAGAACTCTATCATGAACCTAGCTTTTGACTCTGCTGGAGATACAAGGCATCATTATAATGATACTTCTATGAAATAAGTTCTTGCACTAAGGGCTTTAATAATCTCAGTTAAGATGGTGAGTGGAAAAAATAATAGGAGATAGAGAGAAAAAGCAAATAAAAATGGGGATAGAAATGAACAAACACTGTACAGGGCTTTGTTCTATGGAAGACTAAGTAGCTAAAGACCACCTTCAAAATCTCTCACATGTATTAAAATCCGTTCCCCTCTGTACAAGCGTGAAGATAAACTATGGAAACAATAGTGAAGTTCATCTGTAATTATGCAAATACTTACCCTACTGCCTTTCGGTATCCACTGAGTTCCAAAATAACTATATACAGAATCATAACAAAAAGTAGGAGGATCAATTTTGGCAAAGAAGATACACGTAAAAATATTGCCAGGGTCAGAGTCCCCACAACGCAGGAGAGAAATGCATAATGAGCTGTATCGCATGGAAGTTCAGTCATTGTCTTATTTGTCCCACTGGGAGAAATTATAACTATAGAGCTGCTGGAATTAGTGCTCCAGATCCAAGGCATACAACCAACCTGCAGGAAAATAGGAAGTACACATTAAATCATACTTATTGTTAAAATAATTCCATAAAGTTGAGTTTGGACATATGTGTCTTTATGTCATAGCTTCAGCACTAGGCACAGACTGTCTGTGAAGTTAAACATATGATTTGCAATTGCTTGTTTTAAAAGTATCTTCCTTTCATCATTATGTGTCTATATATGGATGGGTGGCTAGTTTATTCTGTTATATCTTACTTTGATCCCGGTAAAATTCCCTCCATTTGCTCATAACTATTAGCCTTGGAAGGGAAATACCCTTCAGTAATAATGAATGTTTTCCTAACAGGCTAGCAATTGTCATGTAGGTTGAATTTATTTCCACCAGGTCTGGGACAGAACAGGAAATGATTAAATTCCTTTCCTACAAGAATTGTTCTGTCTTCCTATATATGTTCTTAACTTCAAAAAGAGAAAAGAGCTGTAAAAGCACAAGATATAGAATGTCTCACATCTACTTTGCCTCAAAATGATCATTTGGCTGCTTGAATGAGCCATTACAGTACATGGCATTTCCGTATCACCAGTTTCATTCTCAAAGTTTGGAATCAACCTGTATTGAACTTTGCTCTATTGAACTTGAAAAACACAGAACATGCAGAGAATACTTTGGCTCTCATGGCCACCCTGTTTTCCTTCAGCTGATCAACAGAAAAATGCAAACAATGTCATATAATCCATTTTGCTTACTGAGGTACTAGCAGTCACAGAGTAAAAGTGATTTCCTAACCACCATTCCATGCAAAAAAGAAATGAATTGTTAGTGTCACTCTCCATTTTAGAATGTATATTTTAGTATGTATATATTATATGCATTTATCTGGAATGCATTTAACTGAGAGGTTGCTTTGATGGGAACCTTCAAGGAAAAAAAAAATGGCCTTTCCCAATACTGTGACCAACATTGCATGTTCCTGTGGTGGCTGGATTGGGGAAGGGTGACATAAACATCAACAGTGCCTACAGGAAAAAAAAAAAAACCTTCTTGCATATGATGAGACTAAAGTTTTATGTGGGAGAGAGGGCTGCGGTGAGGGAGTAGTGGAATTCCTGCCAGTAGGAAAATGGAATGGGAACAAGAATGGCAGTGATTTAAATAAAGTATAAGTTTTGCTGCAGTTTCCCTTGAATCAGAAAACAATCTGAACTTTATTTATTTGTTTGATTTTTAATACTTTAGATTTATAAGGCTGCCCAACTCAGTAATGACTTTTATGCAATGCATGCATAAAAAAAACAACATAACATCTAAAACCAAGCAAAACAGAATAAACATAATGGGCAAACAAACATATACCATAGCTGAAGCAGAAAATACACTCCAGATGGACATGGCCAGACCTATTCTAGAGTTAAAACAAACAAACAAACAAACAGGTTTTTAAAGATAATTTAAAGGATTGCACAGGTGGGGCAACTAAACATCTGGGGGGATGTTATTTCAGAGAGGAAACCTTGTGACAGAGAAAACAGATGACATTATTCAATGGATGGGACATGAAACACATCTGGTCTGTTGAACAGAAATGATAGGAGATGTGGTCCCTCAGACAGACAGTTTAGTTCTCTGAAACAGATGACTTTATGTGATCAACAGATGCAGAACACATTTATCAATCAATCAATCAATCAATCAATCAATCAATCAATCAATCCTATCTTATATCCAATAATCCTAGGTAGCTCTCAACAAACTAATAAAAGCAACAATAAAACTATCATGTCACCTATACACAAAGCAGCACACTCCCCACCAGGGTGCCATAATATCCATCAGTTCCACAATTGCTCACTCTTCCCTACCCTAAAGCAACACCTGGTGGAAGAACCAGGTCTTCACGGCCTTCCAGAAGACTACAAGCCTGGGTTGGTGGGCGGCAGTTCTAAAGGGCCAGGGCAGCTACCAAGAAGGCATGTCTCTGAGGTCCCACCAGGTAACAACATTTAAGGGAAGGGACCAGGAGCATTCCCATCCTGTCCAATGCCCTTGAGGAGGGGCAATCCCAAAAATAAGTGGCCATATGTCATTCAGGACTTTAAAGGTGATAACCAGCACCTTGAATTGCACCTGGAAAGAAACTGGGAGACACTGTAGCTCACATAACAGCAGTGTAGCACAGGCAAACCAAGGAGCGCCCAGAATGGCATGCACCAGTGCCTTCTGGAACAGGCAGGCCCATGTAGAGCATGTTGTAGTAATCCTGTGGGGAAATGACTAAGGTATGAGTGACTGTGAGCAAGTTCTCCCTGTCCAAGAATGGGCGCAGCTGATGCACAAGATGGATTTGTGCAAAGGCTCCCCTGGCTATGGTTGCCATCTGCTCCTTGAGCAGGAACTTCAAGTCCAAGTAGATCCCCAATTTGCACACCAACTCTGTCTGGGGAAGTGTAACCCTTTCCAGAGTCAAGGAGGCTAACACATCAGACCGGGGTGTTGGGGGGATATGTCTAAAAGCCCAAAGCCACTCTGTCTTGCTAGGGTTGAGTTGCAGGCAGTTCCTCTCCATCCAGGCCCTTACAGCCTCCAGGCAGTGGGTCAGCACCACAATAGTATTACCTGCCTGGCACGAGATGGTGATGTATAGTCAAGTATCATTCACATACTGATACCACATCTCCTCTCCTCTCCTCTCCTTTCCTCTCCTCTCCTCCCAACACCAACTGGAACTGTTTATGGAGGAGAATCACTGCGAAACAGTGCCCCCCCCACTTCCAACCCCAAGAGCTGGTCCAGAAGGATACCATGATTGATGGTACCAAAAGCCACTGAGACATCCTGGAGGGCTAGGATGGACACACCACCTCCAAGCTCTCCAGAGGTCATCCACAAGTGCAACCAATGTCATTGTCCGGCCTAGCCCAAGGAACTCCAAGAGACAATGCCAATTCAGTCCACCTATGTGTATTGCCACCACCCTCTAGCAAGAATCTTCCCAGCCTAAAACCCCAGTCCCCAAAGGCCTCCAGCCACA